GCAAGCGGGCCTCAAGAGGAGTTCAAGTGAGCATCTTATTGAAATTCCGGCCGCTTTTCCGTCCGTCCAGTACTCACACAACTAGCTGTCAGCGAATCCAAATAGGCGGCTCTCGTATTTTCCGCGGGGACTCTCCTTGTCGGTGCAAATTGTGATCGTATAGAAATGGCTGCTGCCATCTCTGCTCGACGTAGCCAATGCGATGCAGTCTTGGGAATAGCGAACGAATTGACGGCGGCGGCGTCGAAGACAGAAAGAAACAACGGAGGAAACGACGAATTCCTTTCCGCTCGCTCAGAGGCTAAATGAGGGGCGGACACTACAATAACACCCGTCGCGTCAGCTCGTTTCTCGAACGACCGCTACTCTTCCGTCTGTTCGTGGGAGAAATAGCGCCGCGTCGACGGATCAAGGGGATCCATGGAGGACGAATGGCATCCTCTGGCTAGACAGAACAGCAAGAACAGGAACGTCTTGATCATAATACGCATCGCATCATGAGGGATTCCGATCACCTACGCGCATCTGCTCGGGTATTCCAGACGTTGGTACCCGGTTCGTACCACTGCAGCGATGTTCGCAATAGGAAACGGGATCCACGTACTGAGAGAGGTTTCGGCCCGGATTGCTATCGAGGCCGCGATTCGAGCCGCGGCACATCGCCGGCGTTCAAAAGGAAAACCATAAAAATTCACCACAGTCCGCAAGTACCATCGACTAGCTGATAGTCAAGCTGCGTTCCGACTGCGTTCATAGGCGAGAGCTCCCACGTGGAGGTGGTCCGGCAGCTGCGCTATAGAGTGAGTTGGAACGACTCCGGAGCTCTTTTCGTCGAGCTCCGTCGACGTCTCTGGTTTCCACGACGATTGTCTGCTCCTCAGTACGCGTAGCTGACTGTGCCAATAACGGCAGGAGCCTGTCGCTGAATGCCTCCTCAATTCGTTTTCCCTTTCCTCCACGCAGCATCCAGCCGCCTCGCCTCGCGATCCGTGATCAGAGTTTTTTGCCTTTCGGTGGATTCTACATCGCAATTTTCGGCTCCGGATGTCTCCTTCTCTCTTTCGGAGCAAAAAATAAAACATCAAACTCGATACACCGTATAGAGGAGCCTCTCTCAGAAGCGATCACCGAGCTCATTTCGATCGAGCTCATTTCGCTCTCAAGAATCGGAATGAGCTCGCTGAAGTCAATCCGCTATTATCCCTCAAACGCTCGATGACACTCGCTGCTTCAGAAGGAATCATCACGAGCTCGGCGTCTCATTTCAAGCCTCAGTATTCAGAAAACATCCCGCTGCTTGCTCGTTTGGCTGTTCTCCTTCCGAAAGTGTTCACGGGCCATGATGTCGATTTTGCTCAAACGCGCATCGCGATATTGTTCTCCTCGCAGCGCCTACGAATAGCCGATTCCCTCGGAACCCCCTCTTCACCCCTCCAGTTCCTCGCTCAGGCGGAGGGGGGTTGGCACACGCTGCTCACGCAAACCGGTCCGCTCTAGATCCCGCCCACGCATGAACGTGAGACATCTTCATACGATACCGACAGTCGAGCCGAACAGATCAAGGTTTTCTTGATTTCTTTGACCCGACCGACCCTTAAACACCGAGCTTATTCATCGGAGCGGCACTCTTGGAAGCGGTCAAGCCGACTCCTACCGCCTCGCAAATGGAAGAGGGCGGAATTGATTAGAGACAGGAGAGACACGACTGCTCCGAATAGGACTACTGTCGATGACGACGACGACAAACTCACATAATCGCCTCGACAGATCGCAAGGACGGATGCGGTTGAGGTTCGACATCCGACTCGAGAGTCTCGATTGTGGGTCTTGGCACCATATCCCGCCAAGGGCTCCCTGAATCCTTGGAATGAGCGAATTCGAGCTCGACAATGTACGCAGGGCGATGAACTATCGTGCCGGCTGAGGAACATTCAAAAGCTCTCCACCGCTCAGCAGCGAAGTTTCAAGGAAAGGCTCGAGCACGAGAAAACTTCCCGCACGCAGGCGTGCAGGCGGGCTATGGAACGTTCACATTGCCTCCCTCTTCGCCGACGAACTATTATTGTATGCGATTATCCCTGGGAGCGAGAAGAGAGCTCATGGATGAGAACTAGAGAGTCGAAATGTTCGATAAGACGCGGTAGGAGGTGAGCACTCTGGATAAATAGCGGAAAAGCCCCGTGGCGATAGTCGGTGATTTCCAAATCGACTCACGGGATTGCGACCACCACGAATTCAATCGACGGTATTCGAGTGCGTGGATCTCGAAAGAATAAACCTGCTTCCCTATTATCAATGGCGAAAGAGTTCTTCATTAGGCAACCAGCAATCGTGTTGTTCCACCGCATGATTCTACGACGGCCGATATACAGCGATCTTTACCATGATAGCCAGCCAAAAATGAGGACGACGGTTTCGACAGCAACAACAACGATAGATCGTTGTTTGCGTGATCCACCGAAGCCGTGATCCATCATAGCTTCTCGGTGCATCGTCGCCGAATCTGTCGCTTCGGAGGCTGCTCGCCCACCCGCCAGAGGTTTCGTTTGACAGGCGAAAGAACTCTCCTCCACCGGCGCACTATGGAGGACGCTGGAACAGAATGTTACGTTCCCAGATAAGAAGAAAATCAAGAGTCACCGTATAGCGGCTGCCACGTCGTAACCGGAACCGCCTGCTCCGTCGCAATTTGAACCACGAGGCAGACACCGTCTTGTCAGTTCACGACGGACTTCCTGGGACTCTGATTCAATAACAAATTAATTCCCTTCCACCAGGTGTCGGGAGAGGGATTTTCTCCGTGGAATTACTATCACATTTCCGAGGCCGCACCGCGTCGTATGAGTCTCCGGGTGGGGGAAGCTGGGCGGGATGAGGGGCAAAAACTCGATCTCTTGAGGCACGAGAAGAGCTGAAGTTCGGAATGGGGTAACAGCTGTTACAAAAACCTCTTGTCTCATCCCTTATGGTGAGCCTATCGGGCGGCCGTCCCGTGTATCTCGATCATCTCTGAAAGACTCAGGCTGGATAACAGGTCGCGAGCTTTCCCTCGCCACAGCTGTTGAGCTGACCTGTTCCTCCTCGGAGGGAATTCGCCATTCCGAGCGGCTAACCCAAATCACTTTCGACTTTATGGGTCTTATTAGAACGTTCCTTCCGAAGAATTCAACGCGTTATTCGGAGGAGTTCTCCCGGGATCGCAGGCTCCTCGGATCTTCCGCGTCTGACCCGATCGGAACATACAGATTCCCGGGTACGTAACAAGACTCCGGATTATCCTCGCTGGAATTACGAAACCAGCAGCATTCGGACTCGTGATTTGAAAATACTTATGGAGGGGTCGATCCATGCGATGATCGGGTCACACAGCGACGAAGCACGTCGATCGAGCTTCGTCCCGATCCGCGTCGAAACAATATGCGGATTGACGCCTTGCTCTGACACGTGGCAGCAGCTGTGTTGATAAATGTTCCGCAGTGGTCGGTTTGACCAATGACCCACCGACTAGCCAAGCGCTGGCTGGCCAGCTGGCAAACAACCGGTTAGCCGATCGCTCCTCGCGCGCAAGTACAAACCAACAAAACGTTCGCGGCAAACTCGTTGGAGCCTGTGTTGTCGTGGCTACTTTCCCTCGTGCTGCTGCTGTCGCCACTGCCGCTGCTCTGAAGCTGGAATTGATCGGCGATGAATAGCGTTCAACGTCTGTCTGACGAAACGCAGTCTTCCCGTCATGCTGGGATGCGGGTCCGAGCTCCAGTAGAGTCTAGCTGAAGTCTCAATGTTGAAGCACTCAACACCTCCCAGGAGCTATTTCACTCTCAAGACACGAATGAACCCCTGAATTCTCTGGGAACGTCTTGGGCGCGCGAGCGGGAGAGCGACCCGCCGACGATCTATCGACTCGGTTCGAGGTCTCGACAACTATCATTCACTCTTCCCCCCTCGATTTCGATCGACGGCGAGATAGGGATGTCCCATCACGAAACGAATCATTTTTCAAATCCGATGGGAGCAAGTGTTCAGGCGAAAACGATCACGTTCGAAACGAACTCATATCGACTTGACGACTGGAACGACATCGAGAGACTGAGCCCCTATAAAACTTCCAGTCTTCTCCCGACCTCATTTCTTCATCTCACGAATAGAAGCGATGCTCCCCCAGACTCGCAAGATTGAAACTAGCTCTCAAAAGACTTCGGCGTCGCAGTGCCGAAGCGAAGACGATGCAACAGAAGCGAAGCCGGCGGCGAGATTTCCGATGCCCACGAACGATTGACTTCGACGAACGAACGAACTTACGACCGACCGACCGAAGCCAGGAAAAAGCTTCCACCGAAGGTCACCAGAGAGTCGAGTGCCCACTCCGCAAGAGGACGCAGCGAGATATGAGGAGAACAATACTGCCGTGATGCGTAGACGAAAGCAAGGCGTAAACCGTCTCCTCGTCGATGTCGTTCAGAACGGAGTGACGAAGTTCGCTGCGGAATGGAGAACCTAAAACTTCCAATAACGACGGAGCGAACGAACCGGCTGGACAAGGCAATAGGAGGCACAACCTGAAGGCGTCCAAGAGCGTTCGGCTGCGCTGGCCTTCAGTGCCGACGCTCTAATGTGATCCTGCAATGTGATCCTCGCGAACGGACATCTAATTGGGACACCTACATATACGTTCGACGCTCGACGCGAGCGAGCTCCGGCAGCATCCACGCGTGTCCCTCGGTTTACGCTAAGCGGCATCCGGTGACGTGATAGCACCTTTCCGCAGATTTGCACAGAGAACCCATGAAATGTTGACCGTACACGTAGGCATCGGTCCGACGCAAAGATACGGAAAACCTCTCGAAGGAAATAAGCCGCCCTCGATAGGTATATAGAATGGAACGCAGAGTATAATACATGTACAGCGAGTTTTTCACGGAAATAATAATCGATAGAAGTACGGCAACTGACGTCGATTCGTGGGTTTCCCCACTCTCGTCCCGGACGGATCCCTCACTCACCTTTTCCTTCCAGGCTCAGGCACACAGGGGTGCTCTATGTCGAGATCTTTAATCAAATGCCGCTCGAAAACGGTGCCGCCAGTTTTCTGGATATGAAGAAATACCATGACGTCGCTGCGCCGCGTCATGTCGAAATGGACAACGTCGTTCTGCGGCCAGTCCGATTGAGCTGAGGATCCGTTCGGATCCTGCATTTGATCGTACGAGATCATGTTGCCGTCGAGCGCGCTCGATCGCGCAACGGGAGCGAGCGGGAGGTCTAGGAGCCGAGCCCGACCCGCCGACATTTCGACTTCGTTGAGGTAGATGTATTTGACGCAGAGGAGGATGAACGTCGTGAAGGCGCAGGCACCGAAAAGCGCCTTGCAGCGCCTCCGCACCCACAGTTCCAGCATCTATCCGCTTGAAAAGGAGGAACTACATTCTACAGTGAAGGGAGAGATACGCCGGCGGCCAGGGCTGCAGCTGCGGCGTCGGCGGCCTTCTTCCCGCTGCTGTTGTTGTTGCTGCTGCTGCTGTTGTTGTCGTCGGCAGCCACGTCGCTGTTGGCAACAGCAAGAGGATCTCTTGCGTGTTCTCTGATGAGTTTCCTGGAAGACGAAGAACGCACCGTCAGCTCATGGTCTGAATTTTCCAGAATTAGGACCCATGCTTCGCTCCAATAATTACTGAGAATATTATTGGATCTCATTGAATCTCCGGAAAATATTCAGCTCCCCTCGCCGATATTATGCGTGAGGTATTATACATACGATACTACACGAGGAGGCTTCGGAATTTTTCGAGCTTTCGCCAACAAGCACATTGCCGAGGTGATCAATCGATCGGCTGGTCGATTGATTCGAAACAAAAGAGGGTCACCACTCATCTTGATGCGAGCGGTTTTTGACACCTTTTTTCTGATAGCCCATCAAACCTTCGATTTTTCGCACGGGAAAAGAGAATAATCGTCCCGTTCGAGGGTCTTTTGCGCCAAGAACGCGCTCGAAAATTTGAACGCACGAGTGGAACAATGATCTTCCGAGGGGCTCTCCGTGGTCGTTCGCGAGCGCTCTCGTTGTTTGTATGATCGAACGACAACAATGGACGCGCCGAGAAAAAACTTCGGAGTCGCCCGGTCCTAGCAACGTCCGCTGTCGAGATGCCTCCATCTCCCGGTGAACTTCGATGTTTCACATCGTTATGCTCATTTTTCGCGAGCGAGGCAGTTAGAGACACGACTGACTGCCAGCCAGACAGACTGACCGATCAACCTACCACCTAACGCTCGAGACATTCGACGTATGCGAAGACGAGCCGGCCGCGGCACTCGCAGCCGACGAACTCCCGCAGCCAGTCTTCTGGACAGAGGGAGCCGACCGATATTCTCGGATATCGAAGTCTCTCTTTCTTTGCCTCGAAAATTTCAACATCAAATACCGCAGCACTGTCAGCAAGGGGGAAATCGATCGGCGTCGAGCGACGGAACGGGCCGTCGCCGTCGACGACGTATTCGTGAATTCACTTCCAAGTCTCCCGGTAGCTGCGAAGAATCGGTTTCGGGGTGTTCGACATCTTCTCCGCATTTCTTTCGGAGAATTCCAAGTGCGAACCCGGCCAGTAGGCGACACGTCGATATGTTCAGCCGAGGGGCTAGCGCAGTCGGTACTCGGGGCGACACTTCCCCGATCGGAGCACGAAACGACCGTATCGAGTGCCCACTATTTACGAAACGTGTGTCTGTGCGATATTTGACCGCCGCCTGATTGATCGGGAACGATGACGGCCAGGGATGCGGAACGTGGGGGAAGGGGCTCGCGGTCGAGGCTCCCCAAAACAGGTCCTGAGCAGCGAGCGTAATTTCCGTGGGTACGGCGACAATTTATGATCGAAACCAAAGATATTCCGATCGTACCCTGAATTCCGGGCCCTGAGCGAATACGTGTTCGAGTAGGAGATTCAGTACTGTTATACACGGAACACTCTCTGGAGAATACTTCTGTCTACTCCGTTCCACCGTCGTGAAGACAGAAAGTCCCTCGCGTGGCTTTCCTTTCGCAACTCTTCGATTCCCGTGGCTTGAGTCGCAGCGGCGTCGATGCTATTCCACCGCCAGGCGAATCATGTAGTGACATATGGGGGGGCTCAAGTTGTGGACCGAAAAGAAGGAAAATCAGCTGATGTTTGCTTCAGATTCGTGTCATGCTTGACTGATTCACTGACCGAGTGACAGCTCCCTCTGGTTTCGAACGAAACGCATCTTCGGGAGGTCTTCGGTTTCTTTCCTCCTCGCCGACTCAAGCATTGAGGTCCCCCGAGTAGGCTCGGACTTCCACGCTCCAAGACCAAAGCGAGGTAGAAAGCAAACAGCAGAACACTCGCCGAGATTCGTATTCATTGCTATCGTTCCCGACGATAGGAGACGGGGGAAAACAGAGTAGGAGCTCCTAACAGCTGAGCTCGGCGTCGGTACTCATCGCGGTGAATAATTTAACGAGGCTCGCCCATAACGTAAGCAGAAGCGATTAGGCTCGCGTAAGATCATGTCTGTGGAAGGAAACTTCAGAAAGCGGCCAATCCGGCTCGCTACGAGACCATCGGACCCGAATCTCTTCATCGGCAGCGACATTTTCCAGAAAAAAAATCCGCTCCCTGAGGTCGGGTTCCGCACCCATCAGAATTCAGAGATTCCTATCTTATCTCCACGCGAACGGGGGATTTATTCGGTCGGATGTTCTTATCAACACTCCCGGGATAATTATAGTGGGGTCCATCCTTAGAGAAAAAAAGCGTTCCTAGTTTTAATCTCGAACAAACATTCCGTAGGCTCGTTCCGAGCAGCAGGAATTGCTCTCCCCGTCTCGGGGGAGCGAAAATCAAGTGTTTGCTCAAGCCTCTCAGTCCGAACGCGAAGCAACAATTTCCCGCGAAACCTTGGCATCCTTCCGACAGCCTTCCGACAGTTCAGGATGAGTTCGCGCACGAGAGAGTTGATGATAATAATTGATCGGATTCCAACTGACTATTTCCGGAATTCCCTGCCACCGATTCTATTCAGATTTGTTCGGGGAGTCGAGCGAGGATCCGAAAACTGTTCCGTCGGTACGCCATGAGCTGAGAGAACGACGAGCGCCCCGTCAGGAGAGGTCTCGACATAGACGAGAGGAAAACGAGAGCTCACACAAGGCTCGAGCTTTAAACACCGAGACAACGATCCCGAGATTCGGCGGATTTTCATGATCATTGCAACTTTCCATCGAGACTCTCGTCCGCTGCTCATCGCGAGAGGAGCAAAATGATGAGGAGGGCCGGCCACTGCAAGGCAGACGGCGCCGCCTTAGCAGTCAGTGCACGTTTCATTCTCTGGCAGTCACTGAGTCAGTGAGCGACACAAGCTCGGAGGTACGACTTGAGGTTAGTCCGCCGCCCATCGGAGCAAAAAGGCTGTCCGGAGAGAGAAGAGGAAAAACTTTAACGAACCATGTGATTTGTGACGACTGCTTGAAACTGCAAGGGAACGAACGGGATGTCGGGAGCAGTGACCTTTCGGAACCATAGTCCGAAGCCTTCCTTCCCGTAGGCAGGAGCTATCGAGGACTTCAGCCTTCCCTCAAGAGACCTGATCAAGGGACGCCCTAGGGAGCGGAGAGCCGTGAATCGCCTCATGGGAGTTCGAGCACCGCCCGCGAACGTTTGAGAAACATCGAAGACGCTGAGGGGACTCCGGCTTAGGGCGGGAGATTTGACGGCAACTTTGGGAAGAATGATCGAGTCTCGGGCAACAGGGACCGCTCGGCACTCACGAACATCCCATCGTCCAAGCGGTCCACGAACTACCAGAATTCACATAAAACGATGATCGCGGCATTCCGTAGAGCAGATAGTGGTGCAATGAATGCAAATATTCGTTATCCGTCACCGACATCGGGCTGTTTTCGGCGATCATAAGCGCCAATTCCTCTTTGCTTCACATCGCAAATAACACCTTATCAAGTCGATCAGCGATGAGACAACGAGCCAGCCATTCCTGATGGGAGACCATCACGTGTTCTCGCGAAACTACGTGACCGACAAAAACGTGCATTGGGAACAAAAACCATATGGCTGCGGATAATTCTTCCTAATATTGGGGAAGTATGACAAGACTTGCGAGATCATAAGCGGATCCTCACTCAACTCCCGAAAGAACTTATTTTGCGGCTGAGTGATCGGGCGGGGAGCATGTCCCAGCGAGTGATCACCTCAAGAGCGTTTCCATCGGAGAGATTCGGCTTCCTCCTGCCTGAGTGAGTCTCATCGACTCGAGAGGCACGAGCCCAACCCAATCCCGACTCTCGCGGAGTCGGAATCTGACCGAATTCTTGGGAGCGCGACATCGTCGTCCGATGTTCTAGAGGAGGAGTCTGACTCCTCTCGGTGCTTGCTCGCTCTTCTCGTTGGTAAGCAGTAAGCAGACGCTTCCTACTGCCACGGAAGCAGGAGCCTGTCCCGCAAAGAAATCCAATAAGAAACACGAGAAACGTTTCTTCGTCGGTTGGTTGGTTACTTGCTCGGTCTGTAGGTTGGTTGGTTGGTTGGCTGCTTCGTTCATCAGGCTTAAAGGAGCCTCCTGAGATGGCATTCCGGTCAGGTAAATCTTCAGTGACTGGCGAGCACCGAGGTAAACAATATCAGGCAATGACGACGCTGATGACATCGTTGCCTGCTACAACTAGTTTTCCCTGTGGTTGCTGCTCCATTCAGTTCATCGGTCTCTCTGTACCTCTCCCGAACGTTCTTCCCCGACCGCGTCGTTGTCCCGAGCTCCTTCGAATGAGGAGTACTTTATACACCGCGCGGATGTCCTGTCCTCTTATCCGCCGCCGTCGCCGTCGTCGTGATCATTGCTTTGCGGGTCTTCCGTGTACGATCTGGGGGAGGGGGAAATTTCTCGAACTGGCTCCGAAATTCCGAATCACAGTTGAATTCACAAGGAGCGCTCAGCAGTTCTCGGAACTTTACTTCTTTACCCGCCGCCGACGTCCTTGTAGTCTTGGTCGTCGCCGCCGCACAACCTCCTCCCACCCGGCCCCATCGCCGCGACCGCAGCGACGTACTCGTCACCAGTTCCATAGGAAAGGAAGAAACTTTCTGATGTGAGAGCACTCGCGAATTCTAACTACCTGCACCCTTACCATCTCTTGGACGAGCTTCGCCAAGTTTCGGAGATTAGGCGCTTCTTTGTCGAAGCTCAACGGTACAAGGCTTGTTATTAGCGGAAGAGAAGCGAAGGGCAGTGACGAAATGCGGAGAGGCAGAGAGACCGAGGAGAAAGAGAGGAATCAGCTGCAGCAACTCCACCGAGAGCCTCCAGGTCGAGGAAGCCAAGGGCATCCTTGCCCCGAGGATTCTTGAATAGACCGATTCTTCTCTCCTC